CCGGTTACGGATGGAGTCTTCCAGGTTCTTGAGTTCCGCTTTAAGTTGGTTTCTACTCGGAAAGCAGAACAGTTCTGGTCCAGTTAGGGGAGTGTTTGCTACTTTTCCAGCTAGATCGTTTGCTTTTTCATTACCTTCTAGCCCTTGGTGGGCTGGGACCCAGAGTAGGAGGCCCTTATTTTCTTTGCCTAATTTGTTTAGATTCTCTAGGCATTCTTTGACCAACTTCGAATTAATGGTTACTGATTTAATCGCTTTTAATGCTGCTTGACGATCAGATAAGATAGCTATTTCTTATTTGCGTTAGTTATCTAAGATAGGTTGTACGCATCTTTCGAGAGCATAAATTTATGCCTGAAGGGTGCTAGAGTAGGTGCCCATTGGTTCGGAGTATTTAGTTGTCGGCTAAAATACTCCTATCCCTGTTTTTGCTTTGGTTTTAGAAGGATCGGTATACCACGTTTTGGTATGTCCTTTTCAATCTTCTATATTGCTCAATACTTCAACTTTTTGACACTTTAGTTTTGTATTACGAGTTTTTGGTTTAAATGAATTATGTTGTGATACATTAAGCATAAAAAATTTTACTAGCAGACCTTGCAGTCTAACATTGTTCTTTTTAGAACCTCTCTTAGTGGGAAGTGGTACAAGGTAGCTTAATAGCCGTTCTAAAAAACTCATCGTAACCTTACCAGAATATTTTGAACGGGAAAGCGGTAGTAATGGCTCTTTATGTCCCTTAAGTGCTGTTAAGGAAGTGAGTTTTGTTGATGTAAATAATAACTGTTTATATATTTATAATTAATTTATTTTTGTTTCCTGAAATATTTGCATTTAAAGAAAATATGTAAAAGTGGTCAACGCTGTGCCGGTCAAGCTTAATCACGCGACTAAAAGTTTATTTGTTATGATCTATACAGGGTGGGCCACTGAAAACTTACAATGGCTATAATTTTTAAACCAAAAAAGATATTAAAAAAATAAAAAATGCCGTTGTTAAAATATCGAGGGGGAATACATACATATGACGTATTTTTTGAACCACCCCGACCTACCCCTTAGGCGGTACCCCTACTCACTTGAAAATCTTAAATGGCAACATCCCACTTGTGGCGCCTTTTTGGAAAGCCCATGAAAAATGTTAACCGATGATCGTAAAGTTTTTAGGGTGAAATTGAAAAACTACCCCTTACACGAAAAATTAGGTGGACATTATTGAAAAAGGTGATTTTTTCAGCATAAGTTACAAATTGGGACCCAGCTAAATGAGGCAAATGAAGTATTTTTCAAACCACCACAACCCACCCATAGGTGCCACCCCCTCACTTTTAATCTCAAGATAGCGATAGCCCACTTGTGACACTTCTTTGGAAAGCTAATTGAAATTGCTAAACGATGGTCATACAGACTTCAACTTAATTACTGGTTAGTGATAAGAAATGTAGGTGTGACAATTTGAAAGAAATTTAAAATGATAATTTATTTTAACAATTGCTCAAAATGACAGCCGTTGTGGTCCATACAAAAATACAAACGATTTTCAAATTCTTCACTCACTTTATGGAAAGTCTCTCTCGGAATATTTCGACATGCTTCAGTTCTCCTCTGCCGCAATTCTTGCAACGAACCTGGTTTTGTCTTGTAGACTATGGATTTAGTGTAACCCCACAAGAAAAAGTCTAAAGGAGTGAGATCAGGTGACCTTGGCGGCTACTCGATTGGACCCCTTCTGCCAATCCATTGCCTTGAATAATATTTATCCAATCACCGTTCCATCTTGCTGAAAGTGTATGAGGCCTTCATTAAGAGTTATAATAAATTTCTTTGTACCAGGTTGTTTAGCCGACCATACCAATAAGTATGGTAGGCTATTAAGATCGGTAAACATTTTTTTTTAATTTCACACAAAATTAGTTATTTGGGTCATAAATGACCTACATACAAAATATTTTCATGGTGTCTGTCTCTCTGTCCGTCTGTAACACGATAACTCAAAAACCGTTAAACCGATTTTAACCAAATTTGACACAAAAATACTGTGGCACCCGAGAATCTGGCCATTAGTATTTGGTGAGGGTGGGGGTTGGTAAGGCGGTATGGGAGGGGGTTAAAAATTTTAAAAAATTGTAATTCCAAAATTACAGTAGCTAGCGAAACGCGGTTTTCAATTTAAGATTAGGAATAATATTTGCAACAAAATTTGTAACAACATCAAAATCAGTCAAAGTCAGATCTTGACACGTTTTGAAATTTTTTTGTTCCATTTTTTTTTTGTTTTTTTTTATGACAGTCGTTCAGCATTTTTTATACGGTTTCCAAAGAGGTGTCACAAGTGGGGTATCGCTATCTTGAGGTTAGAAATGAGGGGCTAGCACCTAGAGGTCGGTCGGGGTGGTTTGAAAAATACCTCATTTAGCTGGGTCCCAATTTGTAACTTATGTTGAAAAAATCACTTTTTTCATTAATGTCCACCTAATTTTTCGTGTAAGGGGTAGTTTCTCAATTTCACACTAAAAACTTTATGATCATCGTTTAGCATTTTTCATGGGCTTTCCAAAAAGGCGCCACAAGTGGGGTGTTGCCATTTAAGATTTTCAAGTGAGTAGGGGTGCCGCTTTAGGGGTAGGTCGGGGTGGTTCAAAAAATACGTCATATGTATTCCCCCTCGATATTACAGAAACAGTATTTTTTGTTTTTTTGATATCTTTTTTGGTTTAAAAATTATAGCCATTGTAAGTTTTCAGTGGCCCACCCTGTATATTATTTTTTACACAATAAATAGCTTATGGTTAAAATTTGTTCCATTAAACTTTATAACATGACCTAGTGTTATTTTTTCGAAATATCGTGATAGGGTATTTGTGTGAAAAGAGGATTTTAAATAGATTGGAGCATGTTAACCGTCCCACGTGTGAGATATTTCAAACAGATTATAAAAAAAAGATTTATGCTTTTTTTTCTGTGATACATAACACCTTTTTATAGGTCTTTACGGATAGTAAATTAAATACTACATGCTATTTATAAATATGTAATTTTTAAAATAATTTTCTTTGCCTAATTTGTTTAGCTTCTCTAGATATTCATTGACCAACTTCGAATTGATGGTTACTATGTGATCGCTTTTAATGCTGCTAGACTATTGGATAAGATGGCTATTTCTAGTTTTCGATAGTTCCTATGTAAGATAAATTGTACGCATCTTTCGATAGCCTAGATTTCTACTTGAAGGATGCTGGAGTAGGTGTCCATTATTTCGAAGTATTTAGTTATAATTACTATAACCAGAGACTTATAGAGATTCTTGATTTTGACTGATACGTATGAATAGCCGTTCAAATGAGAGTGAGAACTGGGCATTTTTTGTTAAGATAGTTTTTTAGAATATGTAGGATGTTTTTTTAATAGTTATTTATGATATACGTGCTAAAGGTGGTATTTTATTTGGTGAGAAGAGAAGCTTGGGACACGACGACGCCGAAGGCAGAGTGTCCCGTCCCTTCGAACAAAATAAAATCACTTTTAGCACACATCATACACTATTTTTTCTACAAACAAGTTTATGCTCGTATATATCAAGGTATTATTACTTTTTACGTTAATGAATAACTCATAATATGTCATTCTGAAATCAAATTAATTATGAAGTTTATGGTTGCTAGGGTAATTGAAAGATTCCAAACATTCGATCATTTGTTGTCAACTAATGTCTCAACTCTTGTAAAATGATGGAAAGTGATCAAGAAACTGAGTGTTTCCCAGCAGAAATTGAAGAAGCGGTTAATAGAATTACTTTTGATTTATTACCCAGCAAGTCCGAGGATCAGTACGAGTTTTCATATAATCGACATGGAATAACTTATTCCAATTGTAATTTCACTAATTGTACATTTAATAAATTTTACGTTGACTTTATTTTTTTTTCAATTATTGCTTCAGCGTTAAAAGTAAATCACGTGACTTACTTTTAGCACCAGTGCTAAAAGTAAATGACTTTTCCCATCAGTGACATAATGTCACATTTTAGACACTGACAGCATGCGTTAAAAATTACATTTGTACTGACGTTTGTAGAAAAAAGTATTTCTTCTACGATCATGCATAAAGTAGCTATTTTTTAAACTATTTACTGTAATAAAAGTCAATTTTTTTACACTAGTGCAAAAACTAACTTGTTTTTTGCTCTAGTGCTAAAAACACTTTGACATTATTAATGACGACTTTAACTAAAGAGAAAAAAATTGTAAATTTTTATAAAAATTTGTCAAATCGTGGAAGATACCCAACTAACCAGTACTGGACACCTCGCAGCAATATTCCGGAAAAGAGTTTTAAGTGAAAAACAAGAACCCGAGACCTCCACGAGCAGAAATCAAAATAAAATTCAAAAGATTGCTGGAAATGAAGTTTGTCCATCAATTACCTTAGTAAAAAAGTATCATTGTCAGTGGTAATATTATTCTGTAAATTACTGTAATTTTTTTTAGTAAACATTTAAATAAGAATTTCAATTCGATAGTAGAAAAAATGTTGTGTGCAACATGTGCAAAAAGCATGCAAATCTCATGCGTCTTGCAAGAGATATGCCCTTTTTGCACTAGTTAAACAAATAACTATGGAAATTACGTTATTACATAGCGCAAATTATATTAAATACGTATGTCCGCATCAATATATAGCAGCAATATTTGCGATTTTCAAAACATATGTATGTTTCCACAAATCAGGCAAATTTTAAACACTTTCTTAACACTTACTTTATATTTTAGCACTTCTAAACAATTTATCAATCAACCTCATTTTAAAAGTCCCTGTTAGTAATAGAAACTCTATTTTCTAAGAAATACGGTAAGCAAACCAGTAAGATTTATTTTTCATCAAATTTGGGAAATACAACTTTTATTTTTATTGGTTTTAATTAATATTGCAATTTAAAAATTGTTATTTTTTTATATTTTGGTTGGTATTCAATACATCAAATATAAATTAAGCTGCTTTACCTGCAAACAACAACAATTTGGCACATTTGTTACGGCCCTGTAGGGCCGCCTTCATCAATGGTGTGAATCCTAAGTTATTCCTTGCGTCTATCTCCACTCCTCTACATCTACTCGCTAAACAGTTCAGGCATTCTACTTGACCTGCAAAAAAGAAAGTTATATTTATTTTATTCTTAGATTTGATATTGATATACCGTTTGGTACATCGGAACGCGGGACATAGGAAATCCCATGTAAATTTTGAAAAGGTCAAATACCTATTATCTCCCCGTATGATTTTATGCAAAAATTGTATTAGACTTTTTTGACGAGGCGTTAGAGTTGTACTGTCGATGTCTAGAATTTCGTTTTATTTGGAATAGGCATTTAAAAGTTATTTGCAAAAATCTATCTTCAAATTACTAAAAATTTATAATACGACCCAGAGAAAGCTACAATTAAAATACCGATATCATATTTTTTTTCTTTACAAGAATTTATGTAGTTTGAAAATGGTGGTTATTTTTTTCTGAATTGTAATGATCATCTGTTCATTACTCGATCACTCGCAGGCTTCGCTCATACCACGTACAACCAGAATAATTTAACAAATAAAATAAATATTTGTAAGTAAAGGAACTTTATTAAACTATACTGCCCAATGAGCATTTTATTCCTTTAAGGGAAATGTGTTCTAGGTGACGTCGTTGTTACGTTATTAGTCCCTTCTTGTGCCTGATATGAAGCAATAAAACGCAGATACGTAACTGTTCCGTAATGTTCCCTAAATGTGACAAAACTTTGCTCACTGGGTGCTTGTTTACATAATCCCTTATTCACAGCCAAACAATACCCCAAATGACTGTGAAATTTACGCCTCACAATACAAAACTGTTAAGGGAAGAATCTTTAGCATTCCACGGTGTCATTTTCAGTAATGATGGGATAATTCGAGCGAAAATTCGCTCAAGTATTCGATTATTGAAATAATAACCGACATCGCTCGATTATGAACGAGCGATGCAAGTGGCGAGCACCAAGCGACGAACGCAAGCGATCCTAGAATGAAATAAATTGAAATCCGATTTTAATGTGACATACTCGATATAAAGCCGAGCGAATTTTCTACATACATTGCAGATAGCAAATTTATACGACGCCGTATATACATTTATCCGTTGCGTATCTGAGGGACAAAATTTTACGACCTACATTGACAATGCTTTGAAATAAACTAAATCAAGCGATCAAGCGAATTGCCCGTTGCTTGCTACTTGCCATTTCCCATTCATAACAGATAAAATATGTGCCCTGCGAACGCAACTTACAGTTACAAGCGACGGGTAAAAAACCGTATTTTTAAATACAAGTGATATTTCGCTCGAGCGATCACTCGGTTGTTGCAATCGCTTGAACCTCCTCGAGTACTCGATTATTGAAATTAATCGGTTTTTTCCATCACTAGTTTTCAGTCCATCTAAATTTCTGTATTCAATACGACCATAAATACGGTTATTGGGGTGTGCTCCACAAGAAGAATTCGTTCGGCGAAAGATCCTGTGATCTTTTCCTACTGTATCTCCAATAAACGGGAGTCAATGTTTTCATTTTCTTTAACATGAATAATATTCAAGTCATTGTTGTTTTCTTCCTGTTCAATTATTTTTGTCTTCACACTTCCATTTGCTTAATACCTTAGTGCCTTTAGCTTCAAACCTCCGGTTTATTCTTTTAACTGTTGACTTATTCGATATAGGCTTTTCAGAGACTGACAGCGCTTTCAGATGGAGCGGACCGTACGCGCGGAGCGTCCGCTTGGATGTTTTTTTCAATATAGCTCATCCGGATGGAGCATACGCGACCCATGTGAATCGTTCATATAAACTCAAGGTACTTGCTCGAAGTCGCGGACTATTCTTATATAAAAGTTGCCCGAAGTCGCGGAAGTCGCCTATTCCTATAATATAAAATTCACTACAAATTACGTTACTGCAGCAAAATTCGTTTTATCCATTTATATTTGCTTTTTATTCATTATTGTGGCAAATCCCGTATAGGCTTTTTACACCAAATATTACTACTGACGTCTTATCTATATTCTGAATCAGAAAAGAAGACGATTGCATAATATCATAAATTATACGAAATATAAATGTTCGTACGTCGGTGATAAGGTCACGAGGTTACGACCGATGACATATTGAAGTTGGGTCATGTTATTAGGGCTCTTAATCACTCTTTCTAACACATTTGAAATGGTAAATCGATTGTCTTTACTACAAAATAATATGATTATGCAATCGTATTCTTTCCTGATTCAGAGTTTATGTCAAATTACCTAATTTTAAAAAATAACCCCTCTAATAATTCAAGTTATGATGCAAATAGCTTGCTGTAGTAAAACCCGCAATATGGATCATACTGTATATGGTACAAAGTTGGTATTTTATATAATTATTAGAAAGTCAAATGTTTATTTGATTTCTTCAATTTCATATCAAAATACCGATCAGAAAGTTGTGCGTGAAAACTTACTTAAAGTAAATTATTTGTAAATCATAGAAGCCGATTCTCGAAATTTACGCTACTGGAATAAACAGGCATATTTTCAACTTAAATCTCTCCATCTTTCCTGAAATTGTATACACTTTTACACCTCATAAAGCTATCTGGGTAAACAACATAATCTTTTCATTTAGATACTCCATTTAAATATTTTTAGTAATGTGTGAATATTAATAAACTTCATTATACGTTTTACATACTAAAATACTATTTTCTGAAATTATTATCGATATGCCAACCAAGAACAACACGTTTTTTTTTTGTTTTTTTCTCTAATATTTTTACTCGATACATATGTAATGGACATTGTAATGAACATAAATGTTCTAGTAAAAATGTCTCGTATTTCGGTTTATAGGTATATAAATATTCCAGATATTTTAACATAAATATACGAAGAAATTTTCCGCTTTCTGGTCAAATTATACATTTACCCAAAGGTGAGTTATTTATTTACCATTTAGTTAAACGATATGTAAATGAATTTCCGAAGTTTTATCCCTAGCAATCAGTAAACCCAACCGTTCTACAAATAGGCAAAGGTGAAAACCATTAAAATTTTAGACCAGGTGTTTCTCAAAAGTGGCTCACATCTATAACTTTTTTTATTTTTTATATAAAAAAACGACAGTGGTATATGGTGTGAGTATAGGACATAATTTAGAATTGATTGACGTATTTAATTGTTTTGAGTCACTTCCTGTTCCACCGGAAATGATTATAACTTTTGATTTTTAAATGGCACCCTTCGGTGTTTAGTGCCTTGTAAAATAAGATAGATGCTACCACTTTTAGTGTGAAGAGGCAACACGGGGCAACACCGTAATGCTGAAAATAATTTATATAGATAGAGCAATGTAAAAGTCCAAATTTTGGTCACCTGTTTTAATTTAGTGTAGTTCTGAGTAAGACAATATACAGGATGATTCAAAAAACATGTGCCATCTCTCGTTGACAGCTTCCTCACGTAAAAATAAGACTTATTTTTCATTTCAACATAGGTCCGACTCTGCTTTGTTTCGTAGCTACAGGGTGTTAAAGTCTTAATATTTTTTCGATTTATTATAATTTTCTTCGAAGTACTTTTAGCGTTTCGAAAGAAATTTTGGGGGTAAAAGTTACTATAAAAGCGACATATTTTAAAGCTAGAAAAGTGTCGACATATTCACCAGGGACTTGCATATGGGTTATCACTGGAATATTTTTCTAAAAAAAGCATGTACGCCACTGACTTTTTTTTCTCTTGTTAGCGAAATAGTGTAAGCAGTTTAATGCCGATTAAAAGTTGTATCTTAATATTTTGTCGATTTTGGCCTTCTTGATGAGATAAACACAATTTTATTAGTTTGCTTTGATCCAAGTCTAATAGCAACCTTTAAAACATCTTAACATCATTAACTTGCGAAAGTTTTAAATAAGTACTCATTGATTCCTCATCAGAAAATATGAAAAAAGTTCCTATAAACATGGGTATGGAAATGCATAGCTTTAGAGTTACAGGATGTTAAAACTTTTTAAAATTAGTTTTTTTGTAATTATCTTAAATACCATTATTTTTTTATTTGAAATTGCTGTAGGATGGAAAATAGTAATAATAACTATTAGTAATACTATTTAATAATAAATTAGCTAAAGTATATAATTTATTAATTTTATTTTTATTTTATTAATTTTAATTAATAAATTTGCATTAAAATATCAAGAGATTGACATTAATTGACATTAAACGGCCTACACAATTTTGATAATAAAAGAAAAAGTCAGAGGCGGACATGTTTTTTTTAAATATTCCAGTGATAACCCATATGCACGTTCCTGATGAATTTATCGATACTTTTTTAGCATTAAAATATGCACTATTTATAGTAATTTTTACCTTCAAATTTCATTCGAATCACTAAAAGTACTTGGAAGAAAATTATAATAAATCGAAAAATTATTAAGATTTTAACACCCTGTAGCTACGAAACAAAGCAGAATCGGACCTATGTTTATATGAAAAATAAATCTTATTTTTACGTGAGGAATCTCCCCACGAGAGATATGGCACATGTTTCTTGAAACACCCTGTATTTGTTGAAACTTCGAATAGTCAGTAAACAATAAATCCGACTTTTATTTGATCCAGATTATGTAAAAAAAAAACAACTTTAATAGTTATTTGTGTACCAAGGCCGTAAAGTTGATAACTCGCTTAAAATTTTTTAAGCGAGTGTCTTTTGAAGTAGGTAACACTTTTTTTTACAATTATGTTTCTAAATAAAGACGAAACTGGAAGATTAGATTCAAAATTTTATTAACGAAATGAAAAGTGTATTAATAAGTAACAAATATTTTTAACTGTTTTTTATCACAGTATATCCCGTATACCGTGCTGGCAACTGTTACTTTTGGGTCTGTATTTACATGTGTGGAAGTAAATCGCATAGGGATCTTGCGGCGTTGCCGGTACGCCTTTCCCTATCAAGTAAACTTCCCTATCAAACTAGATAAAATCATTAGATATATTTCTAAACATCTGAAACGGAATTATAAGAATATCGTTAGGGTGTCCATTTTTTTTATAACGAGAAAACGTCAGTAATCGCAATAATTTAAAACTCAACTTTTTAACACATAACAAGCCATAACTTAAGAACCACTTTAGGTATTAAAACTTTTTTTTAGTGTGAAGATCGGATCTTTTACAATATGTGTAAATAAAAAAAATCGATAAGGTTGTTTTTTTTCAATTCAAAAATTTTAAACAACCCATCCATTTACTTTTAGTGCATAACAATTTTTACCAATGGTGTAACTTTTTTATTTATAAAGATTTTCACATACTGTCTGCGAAGAAAATACAGCAGAAATGTTAAAAAAGTTTTTGAAAAAAACTACAATCAATTATTTCTAATAGATTTCGAGATATCGATTTTTGAGTTCTAATAGCGCGACCACTATCGAACACCAACTCAATTCCACTTATTTTTACCAAAAATGCAAGTGTTTCTAACTTGCACTTAAAATTTTTCAAGCTATAGGGAAAATTACAATGATTTGTTAATAAATAAACATATAAAGTATCATGAGACGTAATTAAATCGTGAAGCTGAACGCATGATGTACACCTTTTCCTAAAACTTTAAGTACTGACAGAGGTACAGAGGTACTGATTGGGTTGACCGGTCGACTGCGACAAATCTGCTATGTCCCCTTCCAGGTCTCTTAGCAATGTGCACAGTTTCTCGGTTTATTTCATACGTTTGGCAACGTGTTTACTGTTCTCTCTTTGTTCAGTACCTTATAAACGCACTGTACTCTTACCTTTGCCAGCCCTTAGTATAAAGTGGTTTTTATTATTTGTTAGTTATTTATTTTAAATTTCATTTCACTGATGTGGAAATAACTCAAATAAGTAAATTAAATGTGTCTAGTAGGCTGCCCTGATGATGACTTTGTTTGCAAAAGCGACCGTAAAGTAAAAAAGCGGCCAAAAAAGATACACTTTAGGGACCTATAGATCCGTAAAGCTTAATTTTTCGTGACACTCGCTTAGAAGACTTTTTTATTCTGAGGAATTCTCTTCTAGTAGCGAAAACCCACGCTAGACTTTTTCAAGAAGTGAGCTGGCCAAGAAGGTACAGACATTATTTAAACCCATTATAGAATAAGAATTTCCAAACTTTTTAAGCGAGAAAACTAACCATTTTTAAAATAAATCAATTTACTTGACTGGCTAAAAAAGTGAGAATTATGTTTTATCGGCAAAAAGGCGATAAATTTTGTTTACGCCAGCGGCAGAAATTGCTTGCTTTTCCCGCCTTTTTTTTACCTGCTTGGGCTGCAAAATGCAACGGCGTGTTGCCCTCGTTGTCGGGCTTGTTGGGGTCCAGGCCGGGCAGTTGAAGAATGAGCTCCAATAAATCGAAGGATCCGTTCGACGCCACGTAGCTCAAAATAGTCTGGAAAAATAAAGAAAAAAATCAAAGTTAGAGAGGAAAAAGAACTAACACGATCCAAGGGAAAATTTGAAAAATTGTGTAAATAAATTGAGTTGTACAGCAGCAACGCTCTTCTCTCCATCAGCAAATAGATAGATTGGGGTTTAGTTAGTATCTGTCTTATCATAGAGCTCGCTTGTACTGTATGTCAAAATCACCCTAGAGCATGACAACTAAGATGGCGCTCACATTTTTTAAACCATCTATATAAATACATATATTATTAACTGTTTGTACACACTTTGTACCCCACGTTTGTATGTTCCTTGTTTGTACCAAGATATTGTTTTATATTAAGCAAATAGTATGTTTATTAAATTGATTGAATTTTTGCATGAACTTTTAAAGGAAGCAGTGTTACAAGAATCAAAAAGTTTAATTATTTTAATATTATGCTTTCAGACTCTAGAAGTAGAATGTAGAATGAGTGGAAGAAGTGTCAGATCTATTGTGTCCCTCTTTCTTGAGTTATTACTCATCATACAGTAAGGTCTTCCTGTTGTAGAGGGGACGGGGTATTTCCCATCCTCCTCTGGTAACAGATATTCATTCTCTGAGCAGTGGTTTGGGTTGAGTGCACGGTTTTCCATCCTGGCTTTTTCTCTCCTTGCTGGAGCAGGTGAGATATTCTCTCTTGCCCTTTGGTGAAGATGCGCCAATCTGTTTCTTGGTTCTTTTACTCTCCCCTTTTTAGAGGAGTGTTTCATTCTAAGAACGCTCCTTAATTTAGAGATCTTTTAGAGAAGTATATAAAAATACTTAAACTTCAACTCAATTTTGGACAATCATATAGCAAAATCAATAAGAAAATTCACGTTTGAACAAAACAGTTCTAGTGTTAACACGCAATTAACTAAACATACACAAAATTATTCATTATTACAAGCAGAAACTTCAACAAGTGATTCCTTAACTAGATTTTTCTTTGGTATTTTTAATAATACAAAATATCACAGCATTGATCTGTGCTGGTACTTAATATTGAAAAATAAAAATTTCATGATCAGTTAAATATTATTTCTTTATTTAAAGTTTCATTGGCTTTAAATTACGAGAAAAACTATTTATTTCAAGATTTTCTGTAAAAGAATGTACCTCTAATAAAAATAGATTAAAAGGGTGCAAGATTTGCAAGAACCTTGCATCAAGATCAAGAACAAGGAGGCCTTGGTCTTGGTGTAGTATGTGCTAATCACTAGTAGGAAGTGTCTTAAAATACCCAAACATTGGCGAATGCATTAAAAATGCAAACAAAAGGAAAAGCTAACGAAGCAATTAGATTCTGCCTAAATAACATTAATTAAAATTTCAAAATTACCAAATCAATGTTGTTTTTTTTCAACGTTTGTCCACGTAAATTAGACATAATCTGTATAAAATTCATTCTTATTAAGAAGAAAAACAATAAAATATTAATAAAATTATGAAACTATTTCTCCGATAACGACTGCACTGTTCTCCAAGCTCGGAGTCTACCTCAAACTTGTAGTTTGACCATATTTTATAATTTTTTAATAAAACTATTGAAAGTTGACATTCTGTGATGTATTTGTTGAATTGAGCTTCATTAAATAGTACTATAATAGTTAAATACATTGTAAGTTGTGGAATAATGAGGCATTTTACAACTATTTTCGCAAATATTTAATTGACTAATAATTTAAATATAAAAATGCCTTATACCCTACTTTTTTAATAATTCACTAATTTTAACTAGTTTATCTGTAGTTCTTTCTTCATTATATGTGTCCAACTAGCTTTAACACTCGATAACATTGAGATTTGGAATAAACACTTTTTCTGTTCTACTAACCCTATTCCCTCCTTTCGAACATGGAACCAATGAAAATAGGATGAATAATTAATAATCGGCTTGCGTGAATAAGTTCACAGGAAAAAAGTATAGCAAACTAATAAAGCTGTCGTCGAAAATGCCAGAGAATTAATAAACCAATAGAAATCGCTTAATTACCACCCACTATTTAGTTAAATATTAAATAAAACTTTCGTAAATATTGAATACACTGTTTTAGATTTTTACTGTTTATATTCTGGTTTTGACGATGTAGGTTTATTTAAAAAGTCTGGAAATTAGCATGTTGTAATCTACACTACCAGTGTCTCATTTCCGAGTATGAACTAATCCGGAAAACGGTTCATTATATGCGGAAATGCATTTGTACAGGGTAGCTCAAATTTAAGCCTCATCATTGAGATCTCGAAACTAGTAGAGGTACGAGGTCGGTTAAATAGAGTCAAAGATGAGCAATTTGATGCTGATCAAAATGCCACCTCAAACAATCCGAATAGTTCCGAAGATTTTTAAAAAACAACGAATAATCCCGATTTCATTTTTGGTTTTCTATGAATATACAGGGTCCGGCAAAAGTGCGTCGGGCATCTGTAGCTCCTAACATAAAAAACTTAGAAATTTTGTTTAAGTCCAAAGTTCAAACCTAAAATATGTATTACGATGGATATAAGGCAAATAATTTAACCTTTACAGGGTAGCTCAAAAAGGTGTAAATGTATCGGGATTATTTTTTTAAATATTACGCCCTGTATATTATTGCATTTTTGGCTTCCTTTTTGCTTACTTTACATAATTCTAAGTTAATTTTAAATATGTTTTTGAAAAAAACTTTAAAAAAGGCTGAAAATAATTTTGAAAGAACTGTCCTGAAATCAAAACTATATTAGGTTTTTACTTTAGATGGTCTGTACTTACTTTGCTATAAGTATCGTAATCTTACATCATACAGGGTGTTCAAAATTCTACGCTAAACTTTCTAAAATATAAAATAACTTTTCTTCTTTTTTTTAATGGAACACTTCGTATATTATTTTTTTATTAGACGGGGAATTAAAAAAATAATATTTTTTGAATTTAAAGTATTTCAAATAGTTCTTCGTAGATACTTGATATATCAATTTCATATATCGCAGTATATACTTGCGATATTATTTCATGTGGCTCTTTCAACGGTAAAATACGAGAGAAAAATCATTAGGTGGCTTTGATAAAGGTTTACTGTGGAAAATGCCATATGAAATGCAAAACCGCGAATATCTGCGAAACCGTTAAACATTTCGAAATACTCTAAATGCAAAAAATGTTTATTTTTCAATTTTCCTTTCTAATATACAGTGTTCAATTAAAAAAAAATCAAAGAAAATTTATTTTATACTTCAGAAATATTGCAAATATTTTTAGAAGTAGTATATTTCGACTTTTTTGATTATTCAGGAAACACGATTATGAGATTTTTTTCGCAAAAACAATTCGAAAATTTGAATGTTGTTTTAGTTTTTAGTTTTTGACTGCCATAGGCATAATCGAGACAAAATGCCCCAGACGCCAAGTACAAAACAACTTTTAAAATGTCTTTTTAAAACAGTTAATCTATGTTTTTACACAAAAAAGGTCAAAATAATGGCATTTTTTCACAGTGGGTGTATAGGCTCGCCGCGGCATCCTGGTCTTTTGGTTGACCAGTCAACCTGTTAAAAAACATAATTTCGAGATAATATGGCAACATAGGTAGTAGATTTAATTTACAAGAAAGTAACCCCAGAAAAGATCCAGTGGTTCTTAAAATTTAAACAAAATTTTAAGGACCACAGGATCCATTTTTGTGAAATCTTCAAAGTAAAATAACTCGATTATTTTGGATTGGTTTGGTTTGGTAAATGAGAAAAACAGTAGAGAGAAAATATGTTTCTTTTATCGAGAATAATCCCTAAAAATAGTTGTACTTACATATTTAAGAGCCTGAATAGGAGATAAAACAAATATTGATAGTAATATACCTACTTTTTCGAGGCTAAAAACTACTAAAGCCGTTCGTAATATTAGGTATCTTTATTCTTTCTACTCTTTCTGTCCAGTTATAACCTAAGATTTCTTCGCGAAAACGACTCCTTCAAGGACCGACACAGAATTTTTCCGCACAGCGTCATATCCGTAAACCATCCCTTAAACAAAGGCCCCTTTATATCGGCCAACTTTCAACTTAACAGCTTTAAATTTCACCTTTATCAACACTTTGCGCACTTATCCCAGATACCCTGCCGGCGGGAAACAAGGTCATAATGATAATCTTTGCGACGGCGGCCTTAAAAGCACCGTCTAAGCTGTCTGATAATGTTGTATGGCGCACTTTCCGTCTCTTCGAAGAAAAAGCTTTTCGGAAAAGTTCATTTCGGAAACAAGAGGACGCTTTTTAAACAATGACGTAAAATACCGCTTGCCATGTTCGCTCGATGTATTTTCTGTCTTCAAAATTGCTCGAAGAAGGTATTTATAAAAGCTATATAACAATAAAATATATTTTTATTCTTTTAACAGTTTCACATTTCGAAAAAAATCGGCAGACGCTACCGTCGGTAATCTTCAATTTTATGTCAAAAATGACATTCGAAGGACCGAAGTTGTCAAATAATATTCTCTAAAATGAGTTTTGTAAATTTTCGTTGATTGTATGTATCTTAGTTAACATAAATTTTTACAATAATTTATTAAAAATATAGTGTGGTCACAAGAATGTTACAAATATAGGGTGTTACAAAAACATGTGCCATCTCTCGTGGGGAGATTCCTCGCATAAAAATAAGATCTATATTTCATATCAAAATAGGTCCGATTCTGCTTTGTTTCGTAGCTACAGGGTGTTAAAGTCTTAATAATTTTTCTTATAGTTATTATAATTTTCTTCCAAGTATTTTTAGTGATTCGAACGAAATTTTGAGGGTAAAAGTTACTATAAGTGCTACATATTATAATGTTAAAAAAGTGTCGGTGTTATCACTGGAATTTTTTTCAAAAAAAAAACATGTGCGCCACTGACTTTTTTCTTTTGATACCAAAATTGTGTAGGCCGTTTAATGCCAATTAAAAATTATCTCTTGATATTTTGTCGAATTCGGCTTCCTTGATCCCTTGATGAGATAACGTACTGTTT